TACCTCAACCTCTTCAATTGGGTTCTCCTCATCTAATTCAGAGAGAATTATTCCTAACGGAAGAGGAAATAAGTAATGCAATGGCGGGATACTCATGACAATCTGCTTTCCTTTCTTTTCTACTTTCTTGTGGGCTTGTATCTCTCTTTTGTCCTTAGCAGTTGGCTAAAATCCCAATTCAAATGTATCTTTCTTAGCCAAAAAGCTGTATTGGCTCCAAGATACCTTGGAATCCAAGAGCCTTATCTATTTCATACCCTTCTTGGATCATCTCCTTGGCCATCATGACTTTAGTTTTAGGTGCATCTGTCTTTTCTTTGCACACCCATCTAACTGATACAATATCAGCCACATGGTGAAGAGAATTAAGACATTTTCTACTACTTTCTCCACTCGAACCAGAATTGACAATAATGGTGCAATCATCTTCGGTGAATACGGTAATTAACTGATTGTTTACAATAAATTTCAGTATCTAATGTAGCAAAAATGACACAGAATTAAAGGTGTGGATCCAGGGTCACCCAAGCAGGAAGTTGTAGACACTTTGGAAATCTATGATTTGGCAAGCAACTTGAAACTGAGCAGATCCTATCTCTAACACCAGGTCCACTTCACCCATCGACTCTCTCTTTACACTATCAAATCCTATTACTACAGTTGCTGATGGGCGAAGTCTAGAGTCATGAAGTCCAAACTTTGTAAGAGTATTTCACGGGCAAATGTTCAAAGCAAATCCATTATCTATCAAAACTTTGGGCAATAACTTTCCATTGCACCGTACTGAGATACATAACGCCTTATTGTACCTGATTCCCTTCGGAGTTAATTCTTTATCAGAAAAAGTTATATGATTGGAAGCCAAAACATTCTCCATAATATGAGCGAACTTATCAATCGAAATATTCTTTGGTGCTTGAGTCTCACTCAAAACTCTAAGCAGTGCTTCTCTATGTAATTTAGAAGTTAAAAGCAAGTCCAGAATAGAGACTTGGGCAGGCATTTTGTCCAACTGTTCCATAACCTTGTACTCACTTCTCTTCAACAACTTAAGAAAATCAAGTGCTTCATTTTTAGTCATAGATGACTTCAATGATAAAGTGTTCTTCCTCTCCTTTGGTTGGCCAAAAACTTTAAAATTGCCCATAATATTTCCAAATTCGGTAACGGTAGCTACCTCCTCCTTTGGCATCTCTATATCCCCAATCAATAGAGTGGATTCACTATAATCCCATGGTACTTCTTGCAAATTGTGAATGAGCAATTTCTCGAAAAATTCAAGTACCACAGGTTCTGACGATTCACATTCAAAGGGTGATAAGTCCAAGATGAAAGGATCCCTGCTAATTTCAGAGAGTTTTTCTTTCAGTATAAATGGTTTCTCAATTATCCCAACTACCTCAGCCTCGTTCATAATATATTGGACTGGCTCTTCAAACTCCTCATCAGTGGTGATAGCCCCCATAGTGCTCTTATGTTTGGGAAGAGAATTCTTGCTAATATTCGGCCCTTACTCGCCTCTCCTTCTTAAAACTATATCTCCAGTGTCAATTATTTCTTGAATTTTGTACTTCAATACCCAGCAATTAGCAGTAGAGTGACCAGAACTCCCAAAATAATAGGCACAAATGGCTTGAGAATCATAATCAATGGGAACACTCCTAAGATAGGTCTTAGGAGGCACAATATCAATCTTGCCAGCAGCCTTGAGTTGTTCACATAATTGGTCGATAAGTCGGCCCAAATTGATAAATGTTTGATACTGGTTTTGATTTTGAATTTCATTGATTTGGGTATGGTTATAGGTTTGGTTACTTGATAGAATGGGCATTGGATTATAAGGGAGTCGGGGTCGAATTTGCAAGTTTGGTTGAGAAGTCTAAAAAGGTGGTACGAGTGTACTTGTGTAATTTGGATGAGGACGAGGAGGGTTGACAATGGTGTGGTAAATAGGTCGGAGGTTTGAGTAGTAAGGAGGTAAGTATGTATGGTGGTTTTGAAATTTTGATCTAAAAGAGAGGTCTTGATCCCACATAAAAGTAGTTTCTCCTTCCTTTTTCTTGAACTGAGGTTTCTTCTAGGATTGTTTTGATTTTGTAGGGCCTCCAACCGTACTTTCCGAGCTGACACATTAATAATTTTTCCTGCCTTCACAAACTCACCGAATTCTTCGAATTTGTTGACGATAGCTGCGAATGAACTACCAGTCATGCAAAAAAATTTTCAAAATTCGATGGATCATGTGGCTTAATAAAGGTGCAGACAATTTCCTCTTCAGTCATTGGGAGCTCCACCTTAGTGGCCAACTTCCTCCAACGTTTAGCATATGTCTTATGATCTTCTGATGGTTTCCTCTTGATTTCTTCAAGCGTTGTTCTTGTCAGCGCAAACTTGTAGTTGTACTCGTATTGTTTCACGAAAGCTATAAACAGATCCAACCAAGTTTTCATCTCTTCAGGTTTCAAATTAGAATACTAATCCAAAGCGTTGCCTTCCAAACTTTCAGGGAACAATCGCACCGGTAAGTTTTCATCTTCCAAAGATTTGCCAAGTTGTTAGCAAAAATTTTAAGATGCATCTTAGGATTTTCGATTTCATCGTACTTACAAAAATTTAGTAGTTTTGAAACCCAAAGGCAATTGCATATCCGGAAAGAGACACAGTTCATTATAATCCAAACCTCTATGCTTGTTCAATCCTTAGTTTTTTTTCATAAACTTATCAAATCGGTCTAACCTCTTCAACAGATTCTTATCAATCGGAGCAGAGGGTTTGTCTATCTTCACTTTCCCGTGAAAGGTGGTATCCAACATGAATGGCTCTGTGGCAGGGTGATGGGCCCCTGAGGGTTAGATGGGATGTTCAGGTTGATTTGTGGATAACTTTAAAAATTTGATTGTTAGTAGGGTTAACTAAGATACTGTTCGGGTATGTGTGTGGTAAACTTGGGATGGAGTAAGTGAAGGCACCCCCAGGTGGACTTGTAAAAGGTGGGGCAAAGGTGGTTTGGATGTGTGACATGTGAGGTGGTTGAATTTCTAATTCATGTTGATTATCGTCAACAGGTACATGGTCATTTTGGACACCGCCAGTATTATTTGAGACCAGTTGATCCATCATGCGTCTTTGCGCCACTATTTTTGCACTTAACTCATTAAATCTGTTTAGCATCTCATTCAATTAGGCCCCTAGATTTGGAACGTCCAATGAGAAAATCATTGCAGATCTTTCTGATGGCTCCAAATGGGAACTCATGTTTTCATGGTTTCTCGAGGCTCTGCTATGGGACCGTGTGATGATGGAGATTTTACGTGTAGCTATATTTGAAAGTACCTTTGTTGCTTTATGGAGTCAAATAGACGTGGAGAAATTCAAGAAAAGTGCATCCAAACGCTAGAACCAAGCAACCAAACTTGTGCTGTAGGATGTTTAAGTGCTGGCGAGCTGGTGATTTTGAGTTGAAATTAGACAGACCTGGAGACGTTTTTTTCGGGAAGTTTCCTAAACAAAAGTTTCTCCCCTTTAAACGTAGATGGTGTAGAAATAAAACTATTGCCCTAAAGACTATATTCAAAATCAGATTTCGGCCGGGAAGGAGGTTGAACCATCAACCCTGTTCCAGAATTTTCCAGCCAAAATTTTCTACTCCTTTTCTTTCTCTCTTCCCACTTTTCTCTTTTTCCCCTCTTTTTGTTGTTTTCCTTTTGCAGACCTTTTCTCGTCCTCCTCCTCCAAAAACCCCTTCTCTTTCTTTTAAATGAGATTGTGAGAACCCTGAAAAATATATATATAAATATCAGTTTGTATTTCATTTGCACTTCTTTTAACTTTTTAATAAACTTTAGCATTAATTTCCCTTGTCTGCAAATAAGTCCGTAAAAACAATTTTATGTGAAGAATAATATAATTTTCCCAAGATATGAATTTTCTAGACTTTGCTAGACTAAATTAATACATCTGGAGTTAGAATAATTTATCGCCTTAAAATAAAATGCTAAAATACTTAGTTTTCTTTATGTTAAAAATTAATGCTACCTGAGTAGATTAATTCTATAAAATTTCTTGAATTCCACTAATTAATCCTAATTAGTGAATAACGTTAAATACTAATAAGAAATTTCACGTTAAGACCAAAACCAATAACTTTTATGTACAAAATAAAAAGAATTGTGCTAAACTATTAAATTTCTAGTTTTGTTTCATTAAATTCATATTTCGAAGGTAAATTATTTCATTTATTTAACAATTAAACCTCTTTGAATTCCGATAGCTAATCTTAAGCGTTAACAATGATTAAGTTAATAAATGTTGATATAAATGGATAAACGAATATCAAGAACGTCAAATTTTCATATTAAGGTCAAACTTGATTTTAATAGTTTAAAATAATTAGGTAATAATGTTAAATGTTAATAGGAACTCTCGCGTTAAGATGAAAACCAATGAATTTTCGATAAATATGATTCTAATATATTAAACATGCTTAAGGCGTGAAAATTCGATAAATATATCCTTATCTTTCTTTGTTTTCAAATAAGTGCGTAAAAATAATTTTTATGTGCAAATTGACACCCTTGGATTAAATTATTATTCCACTTGACTTTATATTATTAAATCGATAAATTTCGAGTTAGACTAACTCTATTTCTTGAGGAATAATAATTGGAAATTCTAATAACTAATTTAATCATTAATTAATATAAGAATTACTAGGAACCTTAATATTCAAGTTTAATCGATAATTATTCGATAAAAATGGTTTAGGTATATTAGGGTATAATTAGGCGTTCAAATCACACTTGGGGGATAATTTTTAGAATTAAGTTGGAATTGAGAAATTAAGTTGAGATTAGGGAGCAAAGTGAAAAGACTAAAATACCCTTACCTTTCCATGCAAACCAAACAAGACGTCTGACCGCAAATCAAATCACATTTGCTATTACTAATTCTGTACGCAACCAATTCTTACAATCAAACCTCTATTCCTTAAACAACGGCACCACCAAACCAGCCTTTCTATCTCACGGCTAAAACCACAAAAACCATTCACTCTAATTCACATTTCATATCACAAATACAAACCGCAACTTCCTTTCTTCTCTGCACAAGTAAACCACAAACCGCTTCCTCTCTTGATACCGAGACACCACCATCACCAAGTCTCATTTTCTTTTCTGCACACTCCACCGAAACTACTGCAATCCCTTTCCACAACCGCACCTCACCTCTTCCTCTGCATTCGACCAAGAGCATCCGAGAGAGAGAGCTGCCTGGTGAGCTGCATCCGAGAGCTAGGAGGAGCGAACGTGAGCTGCCAGAAATTTTTCTGGTTCTGCCGTGAGTTGGAGTGAAGCCAGGGAGGAGATTTGCAGGAAGCTTCACCATTCTGTACCTTCATCTCCACCAACTCCAACCAACCGACCTCAAAGCCACCAGCTACAACAATTCCAGCCGCAACTTAGGAGCCAGGAACCACCGACTGCACTTGGCCGAGAGCTAGGGAAGAAATTTCTGGAATATTTCGTGTGAAGGATTAGCTGCTAACTGAGGTAATTTCTGGTCTAATTAGGTTGATTATTAGTTGAGCAAACTACATCTGAGCTTGCATGTTTAGATTATACAATCGGCTACTGGAATCAAACCATTAGGAAATTTCTGTTTTGACAAAATGTTGCTACTGAGAATTTGAGGAGATAATGCAACTCCATTTGTGTTTCTCTGTGACATCTGAACACCTAAGTGCCTTTAGCTGAGTGAAGACTTGAAGATTTAGACCATGCATGTTGAATTGTGCATTCGGATGATGTGTTAAAGCAGAGGAAATTTCTGGTTTGGGTTAAGAAAATTTCTGCCGAGAGATTAGCTTGATTATTGCAGCCTAATTTGGTTCAATTTTGTTGATTGTCGAACTGATTTCTGGTCTGGATATGATAGCTAAATTAATTCAGCAGTTGTGCATGTGAGATTTAAGTGCAAAATATAAGTTTTAGCCGTAGAAAAAAAATTGGTTTGTGACTAAGCAAATGCTGGAAGAGGTTCTGTTTTGGCCGAGAGCTTAGCTTAAAGTTTTGCAGCCTGATTTGGTTTAATGTTGTTGTTTAAACTTATAACCATGATTAGATGGTTAATAACAAGTTAATTAGGCTCTGCATGCAGCTAATTAGTTAGTTTAAACCAGAAAAATAAAATAAAAATGCAATCTGTTGCATGCATGTTTGTCCGAAGCTAGCTGTACAGAAATTCTGGAAATTTTGGGGATTTGCAGCTGTTGTTTAAGTTAAATTTTGAATTGGAAATATTAATTAGCTAGATAAGTTTTTGCATGACTAATTTGGGTATCTAAAACCATGTTTTAGCCGAGGAAAATTGGATTTATAAACACCCAAGGGTTGGAAAATTCTGGAATAGCCGAGAGGTTTGATCAGAAATTTTCAGTTTGTTTTCTTTTGGATTTTAAACTATTTCTGGATGATTTTAGTTACTGAATGAATTTGGTTTTGAAGTGGAAATTTTTAATATCTAGCTAAGTGTTTAAATGCTGAATTTGAGTACCTAACACCCTGTTTAAACCAAGGGAAAAATTTGATCTAAAGTATATTAGTTGCTGAAATTTTATGTGATAGTAAACGGTGGAGTTGGGATCTTAACTTGATTTTAAATTTTTCCCTGAATCTTGATGGATGGAAATGTCTGGAATTTGTTGTTTTGGAGTTCTATAAGAAATGTATGGATGGTTGAATAAAAACATTTTGGTGTTAAAAGAGAAAAAGGAGTTTTTCACAAGTGAAGAATGAAACTTCAGATTTTCGGATGTCCCTGACCAGTTTCAGTAAAATGCTCATATCTTGGTGTAGAAAAATCCGTTTAAGGCCCCGTCAGTGGCATTTGAAACTAGAAACATAGGCATTTGTTCTGTAGAATTTCGTATTTTTCCTCCATGTGTACTGCTGTCTGTGAATCCTTGAAGTAGACTGTTTTGGTATGAATGTCCTGTTTTCTTCGTGAAACTAAAGTTTGATTTGGATTGAACTTGTAGCTTACTTGTGGTTTAAATTCTTGATTAAATTGTGGTTGGAAGTGATTGATGTTGTCAAGGGCTAATGATTGATGAAGCCCTTGGCCATTTGAATGATTTTATAAGTACTACAGGGTGATGAAAGTTAATTGCTGGAATGTCTTGGAGGCTTTACTTTTATTTTTATTTGCTTATGATGGGCTTGCTGAAACCAAGTGCTAATGATTGATGAAGCCTTGGTTGATCATTTTATTTTATTCAGAGATGCACTTGTTGAAATCTAGGGCTAATGATTGACGAAGCCCTAGTAATTTGCAATGTGATTTTTGCCATATTTTGATCCATATTATAACTTCGAAACGGAATCGGAGCTGTGGAAGTTGTATCGACCTTGCGAACTCGAGTAACTGCGATCAAATTAATCAAAAATATTTTTCCAACTAGTATTATATTATAAAACTCCATATCTAGTGTTTTGCCTAAAACTTTCTAACTCGATAATTTCCTTTAACTCAAACTAGCCTTGATAGCTATAGTAAATAAGTTCTATAGCTTTTGGAAACTCTAAGTCTTATTTTAATTCCTTTTCTTACTTTAAGCTTTGCACTTGGATAATTAACTATAGGAAAAGTTCCAAAATATGAGTTTTACTAATTTTAGTGAAAAGCTTGGGAGACTTGCTCGGCAAGAAACCCTATTTTAGGAAAAATAGTTTTAAGGATAATTTTTGCAAAAGCCGTAACTTTAAAGAAATGTTCAAAGTAACTTTCTAACATTGATATTAAGAGGTTTGTCGAATTATTTCAGGAAAATAATTCTAGTTACCCTTTTATAAGAGAAGTGACTCAAGGAAAACTATAAGAAACATCTCTTCTACTTTTGTCAAGTTTTAATCTAAAAAGATTCTTGATTTTTCTAAGGGAAGTAAATTAATAGTATATTAGATATACTTCAATGACTATAAGCTTAAAAACTGAGTAGAAACTCATAGTTTCAAATTTTGGTTTTTAGGATATTTCGAGGACGCGGAATTCGATTCCCAACTTGATACCTGAACTTCACTCTTGGTGAGTGTCCCTGTCTGTTCTATGCTTACCTGTTTAAAGTACTTCCTTGACTCGATATGTGATAATTTGCAAAACTGGTTTTTGATCCATCGAAGTGAGCTGTGTGTACTTTATCGCACTAGCCGTTCGAGTGGTGACTTGTGCAAAACCATTTTTCTCCTGAATCCTTGATTCTAAATGTAGTTGCGTCGTTGGGTGAATCCCTCGACTTCTGTATCCAACTACCCTGAATCTAAAAGTAGTTACGTCGTTGGGTGAATCCCTCGACGCATGAATCTAACTACCATAATGTCGTTGGGTGAATCCCTCGACCAATCATCTACGGGTATATCTCGAGTATACTGCGTCCTTAGTCGGTGAGCGGGCCCGGGACCGGGGTATGAATGGTGACGGGTTAGGATTAAAATGAGTGGATCTACATGGACTATAAGTAGTGAGAGTTGACGGAGGGTCAACTACGATGAATGGTGGTCAAGCGAGGAAAATGGCTCCTGAGAGCCCCTGTATCCTACCTTGTGCTGTTATACGCTTTCCTAACTGTTCAATTTGTTTAAGTTATTTCTCGCTGTTTGATTTATGTGACTGCATGTTTTGGGGCACCACTGAGCGTTAGCTCACCCCATGTTTATTTGTTTTCCTTACAGGATGGGAGGTTTGAAAGTATTTGAACAGCTTATATTTCCTATGGTTGTACTTGAACAACTTGAATTTAATTTTCGGTTTGTAATGACTTCTAAGCTAAGCATTGTACCTTTCATTTTGGATTGCCACTTGAAGCTGGAAAAGTGTAATCCCTAATTCTAGTATTCGGTATGTATGTTTGTATTGGTATAGTATGTCCTTAACCCTTGCGAGCGACGCGCGAAGTGTTTAAGAGCCGTCGATTGGCTAAGTTATATGCTGTTATCTTTGAAGTTAATGTGGTGATAGAAATCGATTTGTTTCGGAAGAATCATTTTTGTAATAGCTTAGGTTAATCGTCGGAAGGTTTTGGGTTAGAATGCTTGTGTGAGTCCTGGCGAGAGCTGGGCAAACGGCCCGCCAACCCTTTGGTTCGTCTTAGGGGGAAGTGGGGTCGCCACAGAGATTAAGTGGTCCAAAACCCTTTTCTCAATGGTGAGGATGAGGTGGGTTTTGTTGGCTCATTTTGAGCCATTTGATGATCTTGTTTCCAGAGATTTCTTGATCATTCTTGTAGAGATGATGTGGCTTCTTGTACTAATATGCTTGGGGAAAAAGAATGAGGGAAAACACACCCAAAATTTCCAGCTCACATGTACTAGTTTCTGGTACAAATATGAAGAAGAAAAATTCACGCAGTCATTAGCCTAAAAAGGGTTTTTTAAGAAAAATAGGAGTCGCCACTTGATATTGAATTTAGGTGTACCAAGTCACCCAAAATAATAAAAAAATACGTAAACCCTTTTAGACGACTCAAGGTCTTTGAAAATAAGAGAAAATAGTTCGAGAGTCACATTTGAAGAAAGGGAAAGCAAAGATTTGATCTAAGATATCTTTTCAATTTAACCAAAAATAGTTGCGAGATTTAGTCGAAAATTTTTCTGATCTAACCTATAAACTTATCACATTTAGGGATTTCTATATGAATGCAAATCTAGATTTAGGGGGTATTGAGAGGGACAGAATGTCTAACTAATAAAAACTATCTATTACATTTGTCTAACGAATTACATTTTTGGCAAAAATAAAATCTAACTATTATATTATTTAACTAAATACATTTTTTAGGCACTTATCTATTACAATTTGGCATTTAAATACCTCCCAAATAATCATAAATATTAAATAAAACAAACTAAAACTTTAAATGAACAGAATGAATAAATAAAAGAAAAAACACTTAAAACATGCAATCACACATAAAATCACATAGGAGCACATAAAAGAATTTAAAATAATAATAGAAGGTACCTCCCTTGAAGTAGTGGTTAAATGAGGTAGAACTTGTCCTATTTATACTCTAAAATTAACAAAATAGTCAAGACATAAATTTAATTAACAATTTTAAAAAAATTGCAAACTTATAGCAAATTCACTTTATTATTATAAAGAAATATAAATAAACATAAAATTTCTAAAATTTACTAATTAAACGCATTTAAATGAAGCATGATTAACAATTGAATGAGTTAAACAATCATACTTAAGAGATAAAACTATTAGGGACCCAATTGCAAAAAATATTTTTGAAGTTAAATTATAATTATTAAAAATAAGGGTCAAATTGAATAAATGATAAAATTTAGAGACCAAAATGCAATTAAATTAAGGATGTAATTGAAAGAAATCAAAAGGTTTTAGTGCCATGATAAATTACTTAAAAGATTAGGGGCTTGATTGCAAATTGAATTTTCTGATTTAAGGCCTTTGGGCCATCTTGCTTCTTTTTCTGGGCAGTAACTTCCTTGGTCCAAAAGAAAACCCGAAGAAAAGGATGGGCTAGTCCATTTATTGTACTAAAACAAGGCCAGCTAAAAACGTTGGGCTTTTGTTTCAAAGTCTATGTCATAACCCAAAGAAATTTAAAGCAAATCCATTTACCAAAACCCAACAAATAACCTTAGCCCATTTCTTAAATTATTTTCCTAAATCCCGAAAAAAAAATAAGAAAATATTTAACTAGGTAATTTATATCCAACAAAATTATTTAAGCCTTAATTATATCCTAAATCCAGAAATAAATCACTCAAAGCATACATAAAATATACAAAAGAAGATCAAGGCTTGAAAAGGAAGACCTGATTCATTTTTGACAAACGTTTGGGCCTTAGTATAATTATGCAAAAGTCGAGGGGGGCAAAATTACAATTTCCTAATTCTTCCATACAAGCTCCTCGAAGCTTTCTGCAATTCTAGAAGCTTATCAAGCCCAAAAACCGTACCAAAATAATTTCCAAAATTCGGACCTAAATACATAAGGCTATGCAACCTCCAACATTAACACAAGATCTCATTACGTAAACACAGGATTCAACGGAAGATTAAATACATGGACTGCAACATGAAAGAGAAAATAGCAGAGAAAAGAAACCAAATGATGTGTAGCAACTTTTCAACCAATTTGGCACGGATCTAAGCATGAACGAAAGAAAAGGAATGAACTAGGGTACCTCTGATGCTTTGTGGAGTCAAATAAGCGCGGTAAACCTCAAGGAGAACAGATCTAAGAGCTGAAACAATGGAAAGCAACTTTCGTCGAAGAATGTTCAAGAATTGTGACTGCAGCAAGTTCAAGCCTCAATTTGAAGGGATTGCAGCATTTTTTTTTCGAAATTTTTCTAAATGAAACTTCTTCTACTAAGATCCTAGATTACCCAGAAATCAAGATGTCCCCAACGAAACTGTATCAAAAGAGAAAATCCAGCTCTAAGACCACGGGTCGGCCTGCTTGTTTTTTCCGAAAAATTTCTGCAAAACCCTTTTTTTTTTCTCTCTCTTTTCTCCCACCTCAGATTTTTGTGCAACCGACTTTTCTTACCTCCTTCTTGCCTTAAAGCTGCGTCTTTTACTATTTAAACGAAATGAGAACCACAAAACTCTCACCTCTATGATGAGGATGAGAGCTGGTTTTTTGCTGGCTATTTTGGGCCATTTGATGGCTTTTCTTCCAGAATTTTCTTGATAAATCTTGCAGGTGAGGTGGCCTTTGTACTGGCCAGACTTGGGAAAAAAGCAAAGGCAAAAAATTGCAAATTTGATGCCTCCAAATTCCAGCTCTCCTTTGTACCTGTTTGTGGTACTAATGAAGAAGGTGATGAGTATGGTTCGAAGACTCGGCCGAGACTGAGACGACTCGGCCGAGTCGTCTCCGTCTCGGCCTAGCCGAGATGAGACCGCGATGAAACGTTTCCGAGATATGTGACAGGTCGAGATGTTACCGTGAAGGGTTGAAACGATCGAGTCACACCGAGTCATCCCGATATAACTTGAATTTTTATTATTTTTACTAATTTTAAATTTTTTTTATTTATCATATTTTTTATAATTTTTAGAATATTAAATATTTCAAAAATTCACGTCTCGCCGAGACCACGACCGATGTGCCAAGATCGACGTGGAACGGTCCAAGCCGCGACCGCGACCGCGACCGTGACTTTAAACCATGGTGATGACGCGCGCGTGGGGCAGAAAATTTTTTTTTTTTTTTGAAAAAATGATATTTTTCATTTTTGTTTTCTTTTTTCCTACAAAGCCAAGGAAATAATCAAATAAAGTAAAAAATGATTTTCTTAGAAAAAAGAAATAGCAATAAAATAAAAATGGAATAAAGAAGATAATAAAATTTTGGTGTCTACACTTGCTATGTCCAGAAATTAACTATATTGTAATTCTAACTCTGGATCAAAATCTGAACCCTGAGTTTTGCCAATTGTTTTCTTACCACTACGCTGTTTGGTTTGATTATCTATTTAACTTCTTAATTAGTAGTTAAAAACATTTTTAATTTAAATTTATTATTTTTCATAGTAACTAAAGTAGAAAAATTAACTCCTCTCTCTAGATTCAACTCTCGGAATATTCCAAGTCATTTTATTACTACGATTGACCCTATACATTTGCAAAAATTCGTCGATCAGCTACATGTTCTGATAGTTGTAAGGAATTACCAGCAGTATTGGGATCATTGATTGCAACACAAAAATCCTGCGAAGGGCTAGGATCAGAAGCGACAGCAAGGGATGAATGTAGTGCCATTGTGGCAATGGTTATGAGGAATGGAGCTCCCATAGTGATTATGGATGAGATCTAGTATTTCTTACACTAACTCTTTGGCTGATGGTTTGAGGGATGGGCAAAGATTTGACGCTATATATAGGCATATTTCATTTGACAAGTCACCAAGTTTATCTCTATTAATTACTTGAAGAAAATTAGAGTGCCTGACAACTAGGTGTGCAGGTTGGTTAATTCGTAACTTAATTAGGTGTGCAGGTTGGTTTTTAGTGACTTCCTCAACAACTAGGTACATGCATGTATCTAGCTGAACGCTTTTTTTTTAAAAATTTTTTTCTTTTTCTTTTTCTTGAATCCCCCCCCCCTCCTCCCTCCCTCAATGTTATGCCCCAACCAATCCGATCATTTCTCCATGGCTAGTCCTTTACTGGAAAATGTTCGAACTTTCAACGGGCACCTTTGCTTCTCTTATTGAAATTGGTTTGGGCAGATAGTGTACCATGTAATAAGGTGGGGCATGTTTTTGCATGAAATTTTAGACTTGTTACCACTCGATTTGTATTGTAGGAAAGCATGTTGCTCCAAATTTATAAGCCTATCTCTTCTTATGGCTAATATTCTAAGTATTCAATATTGTTTTTTCCCTTCCTGTTCCTATAGAAATAAAAATAAAACAAGCAAGGCTTATACCAATTGGAACGGTCTTCTATCAGTGTTAATTTCCTGATTGAAATTTTACTTTGATGGTAAAATGTTTGAAAAGGTCATGAAGCTATTCGTGAACTCCATGTAATTCTAGATATAATGATTTTTTTCTTTTGAACTTCCTCCAACTGATATCGAGTACTTCCAACAGATTCTAATGATATGGCTTTCTATTTATTTATATTGTAAGTAGGAGGTTTGAACCCAAGAACTGTTACTTGTAATCCCTCTCTCGATATGCTTTGTTTGAATGTTCTTTTTTTTTTTTTAATTTTAAATTTGTAGTCTTTTATTGATGAGAATAAATGTTACACACAGAGAAACATCATTTTGAAGTACAGGATTGAACTATAAAGACAACAAATGAACCAGAAATGTTTGGTGCTTAGTTGAAAAACAAAATAGCTCCATTTCTCCTATATCCTCAGCCCTTCATACGCTTAATTTTCCGAATTGAAGGCATTCCTAATCTGTCGAGGTGAATTGCTCCACGAGCCATAGTTGGGAACATGTGGAAGGAGTCGTATAACTTGAGTTGATGCTCTGGATGAGAGACGCCCACATTGGACAATGCATCAGCGACTGTGTTAGCTTCCCTATAACAATGTGAAAAACGATCAGGATCTTCCACGAACTGCCAAATCTGCCTAATCTCTCGTCGAATCTTCCAAGGGCAGTGAATACGTTTCTGAAGAATTCCAATTAATACCAAAGAATCCGATTGAATATAGAGATTCTCAAAACCCCAATGTATGCATGTTTGAATGCCAATAAGAAGAGCCCGGGCCTCTGCACTTAGACATGTAGTTTCTCCAAGATATGCCGAAAAACCAATCAAAGGAATGCCATGTGAATCCCGAAGAACCCCACCTCCTCCACCCAATCCTGGATTACCCTTAGAACAGCCATCGGTATTTAGTGTAAACCGACCGGTTTCCTTTGGTTTCCAACGAACAAGTTTGTACGTGACATAAGTGTGAGATGAATACGGCCAATCATACAAATGATAGAATGAATGAGCCTTGAAAACTTGTTTGAAATAAATTTCCACAATGGTATGGATTTCCAAGGAAATGGCAACACAAATGGCGGGCGATCTCATATGGACATCCTCAAATAATGCTTTATTTCTTGCTTTCCAAATTTGCCAACATACTATACTGGGAAGAATGCGTCCAATGAATCGCTGTATCTCTGAATCATATGAGTGCAACCACCAACTCACTATACGGGAGCGTAAAGAAGAGCCTGGAAAAGTCAATCCACATGAAGCTCCAAAATAATTCCAAACTGTTGAAGCTATATGGCCTTTGGAAAATAAATGTTCAATTGACTCCTCAGATGCGGAATCGCAGCAGAAACACTTTGATGGTAAATGTAAACCAAGTTTACATAACCTATCCGGTAAAGGCAGCCTCTCCAGCAACAATCTTAACATGAAGAATGAAATTTTGAGTGGGATCTGAGGATGCCAAATGCTATCAAAAACCATAGACTTGTTTCGTGCTTGCCTAATATCCCGGAATGCTGAAGCTAGAGAGAAATTTCCAAATGTTGTGGACATCCAAATGACTTCAGCTTTACCCCAGTCTTCCGGGACTGGATGCTCTAAAATAGAGGGAACCAGATTCGTCGGCAATGTCTGATATAATCTAATCACATCCCAGTGTCCATTGATGATAAAATCACCAAACGACAAATTAGAGACAACCGTCGTACGGAGAAACAAGGCACCCCCACCCAACCAATTGTCGTACCAAAAATGACAGGCTCCGTTTTTTATATCCCATAGCATAGATAGCTCCACTTGTCAACTTACATTGACCATCCTTCTCCAGATTGCGGAGTCTATTGACCTGATTTCTACCTGACAAGGATGTAGTAGTCTACAATACTTAGCTTTCATGAACGAAGCCCACAACAAGCATCCCTTTCTGAAGTTCCACCAAAGCTTGAATGAGAATGCTGTGTAGATGTCCTGTAACCTCCGGAAACCAACTCCTCCCTCATCAACCAGATAACACATCTGAGACCACCGTATCCAGTGAAATTTAGACTCCTCAGAGGATGACCCCCATAGGAAGGTCGAGAAGGCTTTTTCTATAGTTCTAAATACCTTACCCGGGATAACCGCTGCTGACAACAGATGTACTGGCATCGTTGCCAACACATGTTTGATTAGAACTATTTTGCCTCCAAGAGAAAGCATCCTTGATTTCCATGACCTTATTCTCCCTAGGATAGATTGGCAAACTTCCCCAAAATATGATGATTTACATCTGCCAAAGTAGAGGGGGAATCCCAAATAACGTATCGGAAATGGTTGATAATTAAATTTGGTGATACGTTCAATCACCCTTCTTCTTGCCGGTGATATCGAGGGATGTACTAAGTAGCAACTTTTCAGCACATTTATCAATTGTCCAGAACACCTTTGATACGCATCTAGCACTTGCATGATAAGCTTTAGAGAATAAGAGGATCCATTTGAAAAAATTAGAATATAATCCGCAAAAGCCAAATGAGTTATAGTAGGACATGCAAAGGGGACTTTGAAACCCACAAACCCCGATTGCATAGCAAGATTATTCAATCCTCTAGATAACACCTTAGCTCCTATAATGAATAAATCAGGCGATAATGGATCACCCTGACGTAGGCCTCGTGTAGATTTAAAGAAACCATGCGATTCCCCATTTATAATGATAGAGAACCAGACATTGGAGATCAATCGCCAAACCAAATCAATGAATCTTTCTCCAAAGCCAAATCTCCTGAGAACACCAATGATATGATCCCATGCCACTCGGTCATATGCCTTAGACATGTCCAGCTTCATTACCACATTACCACCTCTAGTCTTTTTCCCAATACCCGACACTACCTCCTGTGCTAGTAAAAAATTTTCTGTTATATTACGGTCCTTCACAAAGCCTGTCTGCTGGGGCGAAATAATTTTGGGCAATAGAGAAGTCACTCTATCAGCTAAGATCCTGGATAACAATTTGTTGAAGAAGTTACACAGACTGATTGGCCTATAATGAGAAAACTCCTGAGGATTTGGTTTTTTGGAATTAATACAATTGAGGTAGAGGTGATAAATCGAGGCAACTCTGCCCCACAGAAAAAGCTGAGAATTGCCTTGTAGACATCTTGGGCAATAATTTCCCAGGCGAATGTAAAAAATTTGCCTGTGAAGCCATCGGGGCCAGCAGCACTATCCCCATCCATTGACTTCAGGACTCGATGAATCTCTTCAATCGAAGGCACTTCTTCCAATTTTCTATTTTCCTCTTCCGATATCATGTGCGGAATCATATGTCGCATATCAGAAGATGACTCAAGATAGCCAGTGAAGAGATCAGAGAAATATGATATGGCCTCAGTTGCTATATCAGCATTGGTGTCCACCCAAACTCCGTTTGACTTTTTGATTCGGTGTATCATTCCTTTAATCCGTCTCTGTCTTACAACCGCATGGAAATATTTTGAATTGCGATCTCCCTATTTAAGCCATTTTGCCCTGGCTTTTTGGCTCCAAAATTGCTCTTCTATTGACAATGCATTCCGCAACTCTGCCTGAGCCTTACTGAGCTCAACCTGAAATTCCTCCGATGCATATTGATCCATCGATTCTTCTGCTTGTTTGACCACCACTTCCACAGAACGTACAGCATCAAATATATTCCCAAAATGTTGCTTGTTCCATGTATGAATAGCCCTCCTCGTTGCCAATAATTTAGAGCACAAAACACGTAGCGGAGATCCACTCACATCTTGATTCCAAGCCCGTCGAATCACATCCAATAGTTCTGGTTTGCTCGTCCAGACATTCAAAAATCTGAAAGGTCGTGGACTATTGTCTGATCGATCAGAAAAAGTAATTTTCAATGGTGCATGATCCGAGGGATGTCTTGGCAGATGGAGTACAGAAATCACGTCTGAGAGATCAAAATTTGATTTGACAAATTTGCCCTTAAAATAAAGGGAGTAGTCAAAAACATCTGTTAAAAATACTTCGAAATTACTCCTTGGTGCAAGAGAGTTAGCTATGAGAAGCAGCCAGAAATTCAATCTTAATTATCCTTTTTAAGATTAGATCCTCTGACTAAATATACTTAGTTGGATATGCAATAATGAATAGAGCATTAACTTGTTCCAAACTCAAAGGTTTTGTGATAAAGGGTACTATCCCAGGCCATTCTATTTTTCCATATCACCTAGTCAAACCCTATTTATTCTAGGAGTTAAGAAGTTAATATTCATGCACTTCTGCCCACTGTAAATCCCGATAAATTTTGTTCCACAAATAATCT